TTTGTTTGCAACCAACGCCGTCCATTGACATTCATTGAAACTTCACTCTGCAAAGCTCAAGTTTGAAGTGCAATTTCTAAACTGCGACTGTGCCTTCATTTTTAATACTTCAGAGACATACTATGCATCAAAATATAGGTCTGGGTCTTGTGATTCTCACAATATAAAGCTCTTCGCTGTAGGATTTATAGTTTTAAAATACGACCGTTTGAAGATGGCAACCGCCAAAATACTCTGACCTGTGCTAGGCTGCAGCAGCAAGTGATGTCATAGACAGGGCCTTTTGTACACCTGCTAATGGTTTTATAAATGTATGGTTTTAATGTAACTGTGCAACAACGTTTGCAATTAAATGTCTTAAATAAAGTATAACAGTTACTCGCCCACTCAGTTGTAGACTACTGCGTGGAGGCAAGAACACTTCACACAATTTTAGAAATTGTAGCACCAGATTAAGTGTTCTTGCATAACCGAAAAGACCACTTAATGTTATCTCACATATATATTGTGTATTATTATTATAGCAAAATTTGCCACCCTAACTCCTCCACAGTTTTACACTACATAGACCAAAATTTACCAAAGCATTTTTGAATTGTTCCCGGTCGGTTGCTGTTACTTTGTGGAGCGTTTCGCCGAATGGTTCATGGAATATCGTCGTTTTTGTGGCGCAATTTGTCCCATAGGAATGAATGGCAAAGCTAGAGTGGGAGCTGCCAAAAGCTGAAAAATCAGGACATAATTTCTAAACTGCCACCACTCCCTTATTGTCAGGCCCACCTACACAAATCTTATATCAAAACGTTCAGCTATCCCTGCTGCCACTAAACATGTAAACGGCTAAGCCGTAGTCCTGATAGTTTTCACAATATGACCATTTGTTTGCAACCAACGCCGTCCATTGACTTTCATTGAAACTTCCCTCTACAAAGCTCAAATGTGAAGTGCAATTTCTAAACTGCGACTGTGCCTTCATTTTGAATACTTCAGAGACATACTATGCATCGAAATGTAGGTCTGGGTCTTGTGATTCTCACAATATAAAGCTCTTCGCTGTAGGATTTATAGTTTTTAAAATACGACCGTTTGAAGATGGCAACCACCAAAATACTCTGACCTATCAAGGCTGCAGCAGCAAGTGATGTCATAGACAGGGCCTTTTGAACACCTGCTAATGTTTTTATAAATGTATGGTTTAATGTAACTGTGCAACAACATTGCAATTGAATGTGCTATATAAATGATAACAGTTACTCCGCCCACTCAGGTGTAGACTACTGGTGGAGGCAAGAACACTTCACACAATTTCCCCAGAAATTGTAGCTTTTCAGATTATTATTATTATTATTATATAAAATTTGCCACCTAACTCCTCCCACAGTTTTACACTACATAGACCAAAATTTGCAAAAGCGGTGCAGATTGTTCCCGTCGGATTGCTATTACTTTGTGGAGCGTTTAGCGAATAGTTCCGCGGAATATAGGTGTTTTGTGGCGCAATTTGTTGTCCCATAGGAATGAATGGCAAAGCTAGAGTGGGAGATGCCAAAAGCTGAAAAATCAGGACATGATTTCTAAACTGCCACCACTCCCTTATTTTCAGACCCACCTACACAAATCTTATATCAAAACGTTCAGCTATCCCTGCTGCCACTAAACATGTCAACGGCTAAGCCGTAGTCCTGATAGTTTTCACAATATAATCATTTGTTTGCAACTAACGCCGTCCATTGACATTCATTGAAACTTCACTCTGCAAAACTCAAATTTGAAGTGCAATTTCTAAACTGCGACTGTGCCTTCAATTTTAATACTTCAGAGACATACTATGCATCAAAATGTAGGTCTGGGTCTTGTGATTCTCACAATATAAAGCTCTTCAATGTAGGAGTTATAGTTTTTAAGATACGACCGTTTGAAGATGGCAACCGCCAAAATACTCTGAACTGTGTCAAGCTGCAGCAGCAAGTGATGTCATAGACAGGGCCTTTTGAACACCTGCTAATGTTTTTATAAATGTATGGTGTAATGTAACTGTGCAACAACGTTGCAATTGAATGTGCTAGACTACTGGTGGAGGCAAGAACACTTCACACAATTTCCCCAGAAATTGTAGCTTTCTAGTTATTATTATTCTTATTCTTATTCTTATTATAGCAAAATTTGCCACCCTAACTCCTCCCACAGTTTTTACACTACATAGACAAAAATTTACCAAAACGTGCAGATTGTTCCCGATCGGATTGCTATTACTTTGTGGAACGTTTCGCCGAATGGTTCACGGAATATCGTCGTTCTTGTGGCGAAATTTGTCCCATAGGAATGAATGGCAAAGCTAGAGTGGGAGCTGGCAAAAGCTGAAAAATCAGGACATGATTTCTAAACTGCCACCACTCCCTTATTTTCAGGCCCACCTACACAAATCTTATATCAAAACGTTCAGCTATCCCTGCTGCCACTAAACATGTAAACAGCTAAGCCGTAGTCCTGATAGTTTTCACAATATAATAGTTTTCACAATTCATTTGTTTGCAACCAACGCCGTCCATTGACTTTCATTGAAACTTCACTCTGCAAAGCTCAAATTTGAAGTGCAATTTCTAAACTGCGACTGTGCCTTCAATTTTAATACTTCAGAGACATACTATGCATCAAAATGTAGGTCTGGGTCTTGTGATTCTCACAATATAAAGCTCTTCACTGTAGGAGTTATAGTTTTTAAGATACGACCGTTTGAAGATGGCAACCACCAAAATACTCTGACCTGTGTCAAGCTGCAGCAGCAAGTGATGTCATAGACAGGGCCTTTTGAACACCTGCTAATGTTTTTATAAATGTATGGTTTAATGTAACTGTGCAACAACGTTGCAATTAAATGTGCTATGTAAATGATAACAGTTACTCCGCCCACTCCAGTTGTAGACTACAGGTGGAGGCAAGAACACTTCACACAATTTCCCCAGAAATTGTAACTTTTCTAGTTATTATTATTATTATTAGCTAACCCTCCCACAGTTTTTACACTACATAGACAAAAATTTACCAAAACGTGCAGATTGTTCCCGATCGGATTGCTATTACTTTGTGGAACGTTTCGCCGAATGGTTCACGGAATATCGTCGTTCTTGTGGCGCAATTTGTCCCATAGGAATGAATGGCAAAGCTAGAGTGGGAGCTGGCAAAAGCTGAAAAATCAGGACATGATTTCTAAACTGCCACCACTCCCTCATTTTCAGGCCCACCTACACAAATTTTATATCAAAACGTTCAGCTATCCCTGCTGCCACTAAACATGTCAACGTCTAAGCCGTAGTCCTGATAGTTTTTACGATATAATCATTTGTTTGCAACTAACGCCGTCCATTGACTTTCATTGAAACTTCACTCTGCAAAGCTCAAATTTGAAGTGCAATTTCTAAACTGCGACTGTGCTTCAATTTTAATACTTCAGAGACATACTATGCATCAAAATGTAGGTCTGGGTCTTGTGATTCTCACAATATAAAGCTCTTCACTGTAGGATTTATAGTTTTTAAAATATGACCGTTTGAAGATGGCAACCGCCAAAATACTCTGACCTGTGTCAGGCTGCAGCAGCAAGTGATGTCATAGACAGGGCCTTTTGAACACCTGCTAATGTTTTTATAAATGTATGGTTTAATGTGACTGTGCAACAACGTTGCAATTAAATGTGATATATAAATGATAACAGTTACTCCGCCCACTCCAGTTGTAGACTACTGGTGGAGGCAAGAACACTTCACACAATTTCCCCAGAAATTGTAACTTTTCTAGTTATATATAATTTTGTTCAGGAGAAACAGGGCTTTATCTTCTCATGAACTATTCATATATGAAACATAACTTATTATGAATAAAATAAAATAAACTGTGAGAAATTAAGATTTTTTTAAAAAAAAATGTAGTTCTGCCTGACAATTTAGCTGTAAATGTAATGATACTGTTTGTTTTTACTGCAATAAAATGCACATATTTGTATTCAGCAATGTCTCACGTGTAAAACAGCACCCCCCTACTAACAGATTTTACGGTGTTTTGGAAAGTTACAGGATCAAACATAGCAGATTCCATTTTTTTCACATTACAATTTGCCAGATTAGTAATGTTACCTTTGAGACCGTGTGGTAGCCCAGGAATGTGAATTACCACCATGATGACATACCATTTGCAAAAGTAGACAACCCAAGGTATTGCAAATGGGGTATGTCCAGTCTTTTTTAGAAGCCACAGTCACAAACACTGGCCAAAGTTAGCGTTCATATTTGTTTTTGTGTGAAAAAAGCAAAAAACTAA